GATATATTTCATTCTATTTCGAAACATCGTATTCGATTTCTCCATTATTATAATAGATTTTGAAGCAAATATAAATTTGAATGAAAACTACGTAAATATTAGGATTCCTACGTTTGTAATTTAGCATAAGAGGTGTTGATGTAGATATTATATTACTTATTTTACAGAAGGATGAACAATTCAACGACTTCTTTTATAATTTTCACGAAACATCATAGAGGCTATTACATTGTGTATTAATTTTTTGTCCCGATTGTTGATGTGATATAAAACTAGTATTAATAGTAGTAAATTACTATTTAATGATTAAAGTTATCAAGTATTAGTTAACTACAGATCACAGCATATTATTACCGAACGTTTTCATACATTTTTTTCATTAATTAAAGTGGAATGAAAAAATTTACATCTAAATTACTGTTTAAAATGCGCGTTTTTCTCGATTTTTTGAAAAATTTGACGTACGACCAACCGAAAGTGTATAAAACCGTCTACAGACGTCGCGTCGCTGGAAATTAATCAGAAAAAATTGTTCAGATCGGTGAAGCCGTTTGGCCATTGTGAGGGAACCTACAAAAATGAGCACAGACAGACATAACAAACTGATATGCTTCGTGCGAATTCAATAATGTAACTGAATGTATCTGCTCTAAGAAAGTAAAAGAGTGTATAAACATGTACAATAAGTACAGTTTGATAGAAATAGATGATTAGATTTTTGTAAGAAGTAAGATTAGATTTCTTTTAGAACTTGCAAAAACGCTTACAATGATATCAGTATGACATCAATACTCTCATTTATCGCTACCCGAGTGATATAAACTTGTATATAAAGAAGAGTGTAATTAATTGTTCACTAATTTTAATCAGAATCATAAGAAAAGTACAACGCGCTTCAGCGCACCTGAAGAAAATGATACTGACAAGGTAAGTTAATAAAAATTCTAACGGACAAAAACGAGTTTAATAATGTAAGCTAAAAGAATATTTTCGTTACGTTATTATTTTACATCTCAAAAGTAGTGGAATATTCTATAGAAATTTTTAAATTAGAACCAGCAGCATTTTTCTTAGACTCATGAATTGCACTTAATAAAACAAAACACGAAACGGTGAGGATGTAATGATGTAATGATGAATCACGGTAATTAGCAACTGTGTTGAAATTGTTAATAATACCATTTTTGCTTATTTTTAACGTTTAAAGTAATGAAACTATAATAGCAAAATTTGTTATTTTCTCGTAGATATAGTTATGAGTTTCCGTAAATCAATATTTATATCGTGTAAAAATATTATATTATTTTACTCCAAGATTTAACATTTTCGAAGCCGTTTTACTTTAGCGAAGTGCTCTTCACTTTAGAAAAGTATATGTTGATTAATGTTTTATAAAACATTAACAAATTTTTTTAACATTAATAAATTCTGAATAATTCAGAATTCAAATCAATCTTATTTCTTATTGTTGAAGTTAAAGCATTGACCATGTTTATACCATTTTTGGAAAACTCCACATCCTTCGAAGTTATTGTTTAATTAGGGTCTGGGGTCTGCGAGTACTCCAGATATAGATGCATGTGTAACGTCCCTGGAACCTAAGTTCAGCTAGTTACAAACGCTAAAAGGTAAAGAGCGGTTTTTACCCCTAAACGACTCGATTTTACGAATAAAGATTGTGGGATTCGTGTGGTGTGCGGTTAAGGAGTGAAATCCACAGGTCAATATCTTTCAACAATTAGATTTATTCAATAAAACGATAAGAAATAGAACTAACAAATAACAATAACAACAAATAAAGAAAAATATATAGATTATAATTGATTAATTAGAATAGAGAAACTAAA